TGCATTGAGTTTCAACAATGGCAACTGCTCATTGGAAGACAGTGCCATTGGGATGAACCAAACCAGATCACTTAAAACCTACAGCAACAATAAAACTTTGCTTTTTGCATTAGCTCACTTATGCTTGCTGCTGCTCTCTGTCCCCTCTCACCTTGGTATTGGACACTGCACCGCCTCGCAATCTGGTGGCAAAGAACTTTCCACCCAACGTCTTAAAGTTTAGGAACCGTCAAACCCGCAAAAAAACTTCTGCAAACTGACTCTCAGCAGAGTCTGTCACCCCAGTCACCAACCGAGACGGCGAGTGTATCCCAGGGATGTCACTAAAGTGGAGTCACCAACCAATTAGGAACGCCGTGTTTTGTTAAGGCCTGTCAGCGAGGAAACTCAAACAAATGTCTCTTGCTGAACTGGTGCAAATTGATCTTTAGCAGTTATAGGTGAGCCAAATCTCTGCTTTTAGGATTTCTCATGTGTGATTCTAAGATATAGTAATAAGAGCTCAAATTAATTTGAGACGGTTGTCAACCTTTTTGCACAAGCACCAGAATTGAGAACCACTGCTCTGAGGTACTCAAAATAACAAACTATCATACTCAAAATGAATTGCCTTCCTAAGGTTACTTCTCTACTTTAGTCTATCCCTGTAAATATTTCTTATCTTTACAATATTTAAAACAGTTTGATAATTTAGTCAATTAACTTCATGGAACAATAAGCACCCTTGGTTACATAGTACATCGCAATAGCCAGTTGATAAAAAAGGGTTGGGGCTTCCTGAGCATTTATTTCATTATAACACCTTCAGTATGAGTTATCTCCTGCACGGGTCCGTCCCTCCTGAGAGAGCTCCATCTTGGTTTATTGTTGACCAAGCCATCCTACTTCCCCTTCCACCACAACAATGTCTATCAATCCATCTATTTATTATTATTTTGTAATGGTGTTTTTTTTAGGCTGATCTTAAAAATATTATTTTTACTGACAGAATTTTAGGTGCAGGGTACGGCTGTCTCTGCTGGAGATGCGCGGATGGGCTATTATTTCATCCGCAACCGCATGACAAAATTCATCATCCGTCCGCCATCCATCCGCAGTAACATTTTTGACCAATTTTTAAAACCGCACCCGCCCGCCATCTGCTGATTGGGCTCTTTATTTGAATGGCTTATTCCTTTTTTTTATTAAATTAATGTTTCTTTATTGATCATTATATAATAGTGAATGACTTTAATGTAGACATGCAGTTAATCCAAACGTGCAAGTCATTAATTGACGACGCTTTGAAGTTACGCTAAAGATACGAGGACGTGTCTTTTCACTTGATTCGATTCCTCGGTCCTTCAGTCTTTTCCTTGCGTCCTTCCCTCGTACCGTTATCCCGGTGGGGTGGAAACACGAGGAAAGAAAGCAAGGAAAGGAAACGAGGATGCACAAATAAGAAATGAGAAGCACTCGAGCTCTCAAAATATCAGCAGTGAACTCCGTCTCCAATCGGCGCACAGGGACAAAAATAAATAAATAGCCTAAATTAAACGCACTGTACTATACAACTTTTTTTTATTGTAGCCTAATAGAAAACGCATTGACACATCATTTCAACATGCTGCTATTTAGCCTACTACTAAATGCCTATTTCACTTTATTTTTTAGTAAATAGATAGAATAATAAGTCATTTACATTACAGCCTAATAATGTTTACATTTGTAGTTGTCCATAGCAACCCCAAAAACGTACCTGCTTGCCTTGCACATCTAATTAATGGGCACAGTTTTTCGACTATTTTTTATTTTTTGCTGTGGATGTTATTGAGCTTGTAGAAATCGGAAACAACACAGTTCTGCGACACAGATGAACTTTTATTGATATCTCTATCAGACAATACCTATTTTATATGCCAAAAGAAACAACAGGCAGTAAAAAAATATTAATATAAATATCTTAATGTAGGCATAGGCCATAGTCGCATGCTTTGGCAAACAGTTGAAAATTTTTTAATAAAAACATCATATCGTGCCTAAGCCTTGTAGGCTCATCCACCCCCACAATTAGAAATTAAATTAGAAAAATAGATATGCCATCCCTCTTTGAGCGAACCTGACCAAGCTAAAGTGCATGTATGACAAGTGCCCCAATAACCCATGGACTTAGGATCATCCCCATTCCCCTCAAACTTGAAGCATAACGAAATACTACGCCATTAAATTTGCGACAAAGAAATTCTGGCAAAATAACCTTAGCCTCGGAACGTAAAAGCGAGGCCAGCATGTCTAGAATAGAATAGGCTAAACCAATATGAACGTAAAATTATCAGCTGACCGAACTCAAAAGTTTATATTGAACATGTGTAGCCTAAATAACATAGGCTAATTGGTTTAATATGCCTGACCTTAGGTCTAGTTTGATTTTTTCTTGGCACAATGCAGGAATAAAATAGCATCTACAGTGTCAGGATTCAGACAGGAGCGCCTGCATAGCCACTGCGCCCTGCTGCACTGAAGGAGCGCTCGCTCGCAGCACTTGTTGCTGAAATGCATAGAATTCTCTTGGAAAGGTGCTGTAGTCGTGGGAATGCCTGGCCTTATTTCTCCCAAAAGGAAAGTAGATTTTCCTCTGCTGATCCGTCTATACGGAAGTTTGTAGAGGAATACTTCTGTACACTTCATCCAGAATTAGTGTATCCGATTCCTCCTCCCATTCTGTAAAGTCAGTCCTAGGCTTTTTCGTTGGTGCGCCAGCTATGAATATAAAAACAGTACAACCGCCCGCCAACCGCCCGAATTTAATTAAAATATTATTTTTTCGTAACGTCATCCGCCCGATCCGCGGTTTATCCGCGGAGTCCGTGGCTATTACCGCCAACCGCGCATCTCTAGTCTCTGCCATTTGCAGATAACGTTGTCCCTTTTGGCTTCATAGGACATGGACCTTCAGCATGCAGTCGGACGGTTTGCTGCAGAGTGTGACATGGCAGGAAAAGAGCACCTCCAAGTCAAAACATAGTGCTTGACTGGAAAAAGGTGGCCATCTTTAGTTTGGAGAAGAGTCCTTACCCCAAATGGAGTTAAAGTATCTGTGTTTTTTTTCGCGAGCATTGGAGAATGTGAGATTTAAAGATGGATCAGTGCAGCGGCAGCAGTAATGCAGTTGATGTGATTGTCTGTTGTGGTGAAGGAACTGAGACGAATGGCAATGTTCTCAATTTACTGCTTAGTCTAGGTTCCGTCTCGCACTATAGTCATGACTTAAAGGACAAGCTCTCGGATACAACTGGACACATTTCACAAAGTGTTATGACCCGCTTGTTTGAGTCGCAACATAAAAGAGAGATGAGCCAAAAAAATAGCCTGAATGCTAATTATTTATAATAAAATGTAACTCATAGAACAGTCAATCAAAGAAACCAACAAATTACTAGGGATAATATGAAGATAAAGCACTTAGGATATAATCACATCAACACTTTAACTACATGATACAAGTAATGCAAAACAAAACCATAAGGTTAGAGAGTCAACAAGATGGCAGGTCTTAACATGAGGACTCGTGAGTAACCTCAGCATCCTTGGGTAGCCAGCACAACAACTTTTATATACCCATTATAGAGTAATGCAGGCATACAATCAGGATTTACAACATACTCCAACCTGGAGTCATGGGATCATCACACTGTAGTAATATTGTAAAACTGAATACCTGTCGCTCTGCCTAAATCATCAAATATTCATCAAGTTTGTATTCTACTCAAAAAAGTAAATGTAGTAAACCAGAAAAAATCTTGAATCTAAAAGTAAAGAAACTTTACTATTAAAAGATTCAACACAGAACAATTGAATGGGCTTTCTAAACTTTAGGCCCTGATATACTGCAAACTAACCGTCCTGAAGCTCCACCTTCATTGATGTGCGGTGTCTTTCCAGTGATGTTACTCATTCAGGGAGTCAGACAGAGAACATCATCCAAAACAACACTAGCTACATGAATACACTGGAGAGTGGAGTACAGATGTATCCGCACCTGTACAATCACTTGAAAAGAGATTTTAAGCCACAGAGGTGCTGTTTGTGAGATGTTTATGAAACTGTTCTTCTCTCAGCTGCTGTCAATGTGTTTACAGTAAACGTGAGGAAGGCAACACATTTACAACCCCATCTACTGCAGTGTAGGAGTGTTGGAAAACAGTTTATCGTCACTCAGCCTTTTCAAACATTATTCAGACATGAAATATCCTGTTCACATGAGAAAATGTTTTGCTGCATTCATGTCATGTGTGCAACTTTTTGTCCAATTCTGTAGACAGTGATCAGATCTGTACGGTTTCTATCCAGTATGAATCTTCTTTTGTGTTTTCAGATGTGTTACTGATTAAACCTCTTGTCACAGTGTGAACACTTGTACGGTCTCTCCAGTGTGAAACGTCTGGTGCCGTTTCAATTTTGGAGCTGTAATAAAAGTATTCTCACACTCAAGCACATATACTCTTTCACACCAGTGTGGATTTTCATGTGTTCATTAAGGTTTGCTGATCGGTTGAAACTCTTCCCACACTAAGTGCATGTGAATGGTTTATCTCCAGTGTGGGTCTTCATGTGTTTATCAAGGTCCGAAGAGTTGCTGAAACTGATCCCACATCGAAGCAGGGTCACACTAGAGTTTGAGCATGCGAAACTCTGTTGTACGGTGTTGCGAAAAGGAGTGGGAACAAACAAGATGATTAGACATTTAAAAAAGTAAGCGATTGGCCCATATTTTAAATTTCTGTCCAGAGAGGTCATGTTTTGATCTTTAATTGGTCTCACACAGTCAAGTGATGTGATTTTGCAGGTCAGAGTTTACCAAGCCTGAACTTTGCAACGCAGTGAACTGCAAAACTTGATGCACAAATGTCTCCGGTCTGACACATTCGCGTGCATATGAAATGTAGTCTATGGGGAGAAAAGTCCAGTGTGACCACGGCTCATGTGCAAGTGAATGGTTTCTCTCTGGTGTGAATCCTCATGTGTCGATTAAGGTGTGACGAGCGGGTAAAACTCTTCTCACACTGAGTGCATGTGAATGGTTTCTCTCCAGTGTGGATTCTTATGTGTTCCTTAAGAGAAGATGATTGGCTGAAACTCTTGCCACACTGAGTGCATGTAAATGGTTTCTCTCCAGTGTGGATTCTCATGTGTTCCTTAAGAGAAGATGATTGGCTGAAACTCTTGCCACACTGAGTGCATGTGAATGGTTTCTCTCCAGTGTGGATCCTCATGTGTCGATTAAGGGATGATGATATGCTAAAAATCTTCCCACACTGAATGCATGTGAATGGTTTCTCTCCAGTGTGGGTCCTCATGTGTTCATTAAGGTGTTCTGATCGGTTGAAACTCTTTCCACACTGAGTGCATGTGAATGGTTTCTCTCCAGTGTGGATCCTTATGTGTTCATTAAGGTGTGATGAGGAACTGAAACTCTTCCCACACTGAGTGCATGTGAATGGTTTCTCTCCAGTGTGGATCATCATGTGAATCTTAAGAATGTCCTTTCTTCCAAAACTCTTCCCACACTGAGTGCAGGTGAAACGATTTCTGACACTCCTTTTAAAAATACCATCAGTCTGTAAATGATTTTTTCCCAACATTTTGACATGATGTTCCTCTTTACTCCCCTGATTCTCTTCAATTATGTCTGAAATAAATAAAACATTAGTTTTCATTAAGTCTTAAAAACTCATCAAAAGCTGAAAAGTGAAAAGACACTGGAAACATTGGCTACACACACTGTAACTTTGATGCACAATAAATGTCAAATAAATCAGATGATATTATGTTTGGTCCGTTAACGTGTACACATTTAAGCAGATTCAAATCATCTTTATTTATCTACTGCTTTTACAATGTAAATTGTGTCAAAGCCGCTTAACATAGAACAGGGTTTTTCAAAGTCTAAGACAGTGGGCCTCCCTTTTGACACAACTTATCCATTGGCGCCCCCCTCCTCCCAAACACGCACGCACGCACACACACACGCGCGCGCACACACACACGCGCGCGCGCGCACACACACAAACATATATATATATATATATATATATATATATATATATATATATATATATATATATATATATATATATATATATATATATATATATATATTTATACAGTACATATAAAGACAGACAGATGTCAGACTGTTAACTCACTTTTATCATCATTTGCATGAAAGTGCAATTATTTACAGAGTAATAACAAGTATTTTAATATAACGTTTTTAAAACTAGGATAATGGTTCAATATGAATAGAACAGATCCAAGATCTGTTCATCCCAGTCAAAACAGTCGAAGTTTAGCGGGTCTCATGCTGTCATTAGCCAAAATATTTTGACAAACCACACATAAACGTCGTGGTTCATCAGCTGGTCCTGTCCACGTAAATCCTAAACTCAAATACTGATCATCATATCGTCGTCTTTTGGGTTTAAGCCCTGAACTTGAAGGCTTTTGTGGCGAGGGAGCGTGGCCGAGAGCCGTGGGAACGAAGTGAGGCCACCGCGTAAGTGGATACACCTGCCTCGGATCCCACGGAAGGAGCTCTGGATCATAAAAGGAGGAACGAAGGCAGAGGAAGCCGAGAGAGCACCGGGCCCGGACATATTTTACTTTTGCTTTCAGTTTGACGGCAGTCTCCGTGAGGAAAATCATTTTAAAACTGCGTCAGTTCTCCGCCTCCTTCTTCCCGGCCGTGAACTTCATTAAAGCTTTGAATCGGGGGGGTCTCAGAAACCGACCCATTGTATTAGCAGGCATATACCTGTATTGGCGGGCTTGCCAAACAGAAGCGAATTCACAGCTATGGCCTTCTGGGTAAAAAAAGGTTTTCTTATATTTGACATATTATTTATTTATTTATTTTTTGCTTTGTTTAATTAAAATGTTTAAATATAATAAAAAATACATATAATAATTAAACTTAATAATTATATTTTTATTATATTATATTTTTTCCCGCGCCTCCCCTGACAAGTTCTGGCGCCCCCCAGGGGAGGCGCGCCTCACACTTTGAAAACCCCTGACATAGAAGTTATAGTAAATTGAAACCGTGTCAGTTGAGTTTTCCAAGTTTCTCCTAAAAGTAATTTTGGTCATATTAATAAGACACACATTTGAAAGCTGTAAATGGCCTCTTTTTATTTGTATTCATAATTACATGTTTTTCTAACATTTGTAAAGTAGACAGGGAATACTTGTTCATTCTGTGCCTGACCGGTAAACGCATCAGAAAAAAAGTTCTGAGGTAACAGCTGAACACACAGCTGAATATTTACCTCTTAGACATGAGACATACCTGTACAGCATCTGCATAAAGGTGATGATACGGGCAGCTGAGTTCTGGACCAACTGAAGCTTACGGAGAGATTTATGAGTGAGACCAAAGAGAAGAGAGAGTTGCAGTTATCTAAACGAGATGTGACAAGGCTATGAACTAGAACAGCAGTGACATGAGGGGTAAGAGAAGGGCGGAGTCGGTTGATGTTGCGTAGGTGGAGGTAAGCAGACCGGGTGATGTTATTGATGTGAGAATCAAAAGATAGGGTGCTGTCAAGGATGACACCCAGACTCTTAACTTGTTTAGAGGGATAGATGGAACAATCGTCAATTGAAAGAGAAAAGCTGTCCGTTTTGGAGAGTGTTGGTTTGGTACCAAGAAGCAAAACCTCAGTTTTTAACTATTTAGTTTAAGGAAGTTAAGAGAGAGCCAGGACTTGATTTTTGCTAAGCAGACTTTAAGGGATGTAGGTGGAAAACAAGAAGAGGGTTTGCCAGAGAGATAGAGCTGGGTGTCATCCTCATAGCAGTGAAAATGTATGTTATATTTACGGAGAATATTACCAAATGGAAGGAGATAGATGATAAAAAGTAGGGGCCCCAAGATTGAGCCCAGGGGAACACCCGAAGATACTGTAAAATGCTGAGAAGTGAATGATTTGAGTTGAATGAGCTGTGGCCACAGAGATAAGATTTAAACCCGTCAAGTGGGGTATTGGTGATGCCAAGAGTGGATAGTCTAGTGATGAGGGTGCTGTGACAAATAGTGTCAAAGGCCGCACTCAGGTCGAGGAGAATGAGAATAGATATTAGTCCAGAATCAGCTGCCATAAAAAGGTCATTGGTTATTTTAATCAGGGCAGTTTCTGTGCTGTGGAGTGGGCGGAAACCAGACTGGAACTGTTCATACAGGTTGTTCTGAGATAAGGATTTTAGAAATAAATGGTAGATTAGAAATAGGTCGTAAATTATTAAAATTAGATTGGTCTGAACCCGTTTTTTTGAGTATTGGAGTAATTGCTGCCGTTTTAAAGGAAGCAGGAACAGTTCCAGTAGAAAGAGAAGAGTGAATAAAGGCTGAAATGAGAGGAATGAGGGAAGGGAGACAGGCTTTAACCAGAACAGTGGGGAGAGGATCTAAATGAGAGGAAGATGACTAAAGGCTCCTACACACCGGGACGTTTTTAGTTTGCGTTTATCGTCAGCGTTTTACGAGACGTTTTTCAGTGTTCAAACCCAAGCGCTTTTTACTGGCGTCAAGCAGACGAGGATGCTAAATCACTCTTTTGACGTTAGATGGCGCTACACAACTATAAGCTTTTGACACCCGTTCACACGCTTGTTGCTAAATTTACTGGTGACTCGAACAAGCATGAGTGGTTCAAGCAGCAGCTCCAGCTCTAGCGATGAAGAAATGATTAGTGTTCACAAGAGCAATAAGCAGCTACACTTTCATATCGCCTCTGGGCATCTTCTTCAATGTGCGCTCGCATTGACAGTTTTGTGCTTGAGCGCCTCCAAGTGCTGTTTACGGTAACTTCAGCAGCTCCGTGCACATGAACTAAAGTGCAGATCTGATTGGTGGAAAACAAAAAAACGAGCATGAGGCGTTTTTTTAAAAATGACGCTTTTGCGCGTTGGTGTGCACAATCACATTGACGCCCTTTATTTAGTCACGAGGCATTAAACGTCGACGGAAAACGCGAGAAAAAAAAACGTCTCGGTGTGCATGGGCCTTTAGATTTGGAAATAAGATTACAAATTTCTGAAGTTGTAGGGAGTTGAAAAGAGGAGAATAAAATTTCAAATTGTGGAAGTTCAGATGTGATGCTCGGAAAGGATTGTGAACCAAGATGCTGGTGAATATTAAAGATTTTTTCATTAAAAAACGTCATGTACTGTACTTAGGTACTAAAAGGCAGTATCTGTACTTTACCGGAGTTTTTTCTCCTACTTACACTTTTACTTCAGTACATATTTTCGATGAGTTTAATACTTTAACTCCGATAAACTTTTAATGTGCTGCATACTCTGCATACGCTGTTACTCATTACTAGGGGTGTCAAAATGATTGATATTGGTTTAGTAATAGATCATAACCGGTTATTACGTACTGACGTCATTCATCTCCTATGCGCAATGTCGCAATACTAGGACGGAGGCGAAGGCAATTGAAGGCTGCACAGCACACGAGCCAATATTTCACTATACGGAGAAATGCTGTAAAACTTCATCTCTGCCTCTCTCTCACTTTGTACATTTGACCTGTTGTGCTGAATTTCCTCTCCTCTTATCTGTTTAAGCAATAATATTGGATCCAGACACGAGTGTGCCTTTGGTGCGAGTTTTCTTCACTGTGTCTATTATGGATTATATTATATAAGTACTGGCACTCTTACTCATTGTATTAATATTAATCACTGAAGGGTTCATAATTATACTTCAGTGCATTACGTTACTGTAGTGATGACGTCATGTTGTTTACGTGCTTAACGTCTCCACGTTATACTGTTGATAAACAGAAGTGTTACCGTCTCGTGTTCATGCTGTACAGAGACAGCATGTGAAAGTGAGTAATAAAAGATGCTGATAAAACGATTCGTTCTGTCTAGTGCTTAAGCTACGGCTCTCCAAGCTCAACAGGTTATGGGCCCAGGCAGCGAGACAAGCGATCGTTTTTAAGAGAGCGAAGTTAACACGACGTATTCAGCTGCAAAGTTAGCAAAGATGGTAAGCAGAGCGGGAGTGTCACGGTCGTGGTGGGGAAAAGGGAAAAAGGAGCGAGGACTCAAATGCAGGGAAATGGGATTTTATTAAATAATAAAAATAAAATAAAATGCAAAATAAACTACCCCGAGGGGGAAAACATTAACAAAACAAATACATACACATACAAGCAGGACTGGGCAGACTGGCAAGGATGAGGACTGGAAACACAACAGGACTAGACTTCAAACGACGAAATGTGATGACGAACTGGCACAGGACAGCAAAAGTGAGGGGTATATAAACTGTAGAAGATTAACACACAAACAGGTGAACACAATTAACTAATAATGGGTTAACAAGGAGGGTGGGACAAGACAATAGACGGGAGAGCGCATGACACAGAGAGACAATACAAGCCATGCGCTCACATAACACAACAAGAACATGCAGCCAATGAGAGAACTCATTAACCGCATGTTCATGACAACAAACACAACACTGAAGCACACGACAAAAGCACGTGACCACAATGTAAACACCGAGCCACGTGC